GGCGTCTTCCTCATGGACTGGCCTAGCAAGAGCCCCGATTTGAACGTTATTGAGAATGTTTGGGGTATTACAGCCCGCGACGGTTACGCGGATGGGCGACAATTTGACAATGTGTCTGATTTGAAGCGGCAAATTGCTTTGTCGTGGAAAATGATAGGTACTGACTACTTGAAGACGCTTGTGGATAGCATGCCTACGCGTTTGGCTCAAGTTGTTTTGAAAATGGCGGTAGTATCGACTATTAGCGTAGTGCGCAAATAAATTTCGCGAAATTCCGCGAATTCTACACCATTGTCCGTTCAATGTGGTTTCGAAGTTTTAGTTTCGTCGAACGTCGAAGTACATTTGGAATCTATTTCATTCAAAGTGGTTTAATCTGCAATCAATGTGCCCATCTGTAAATTGTAATGCGATCAAACATGCATTGATAATGGTTTGCTATTGATGGGCGCGCCAAACTCACGCGACACAAACCCGTACGCACTTTCGTTCGCTTTCTACGTGGACAATTGTTCTCGACATCAGGTCCATGCACGACGTCGTCACATACTGCTTCGATGCAGTCTGAAGAGAAATCGATCTTGCCGACGTCGCTGTCGTCCCCATCCACATCAGTGTCCGACGTGAGCTCGACTGTGGTGGTTCATTCATATTCGTTGTATGTGGAGAGCGATTCCCGGACACGGTTTCCTGTCGAAACCACGGCCCACTACGACCCCAAGACGCAAGAGTTTATTTTGAACTCGCCAACACTCACCAGTCGCAAGTGGTGGCCCGGCGGGCTCTGCAAAACCGCCAACCACTGCGTGCTCCATGCCCGGCTGTTCCTGGACGGCAACGACCGCGGCATCGAGGCGTTTTTGGTGCCACTTCGAGACACCGCGACGCACAGGCCGTTTCCTGGGATCACGTTGGGGGACATCGGTCACAAGATTGGGTTCCAGTCGGTCGACAACGGGTACGTCGATCCATTGTGTCGCCGGTCGATCGAGGTTGGTCTCTCGCTGTGCTGCCAACGCGTGCTAATGGATGGTGTTTCCAACAGCTTTTCCGTGCTGGACCACGTGCGCATTCCGAGTCGAAACATGCTCATGCGCTTTGCCAAAGTGGCCCCGGACGGGTCGTTTTCCAAACTTCCGATGGACAAGTTGGTGTACTTCAACATGGTCAAGATCCGTGTTTTGGTGGCGGTGGTGTGCGCACGGTACGAAGCTTTCCTGGCATCGTGTCGACTGCGAAGGTGCATTGCTGTCGTCGTGGGCCACGACCATCCCATCGTCGTACAATATTGACGGTGCTACATACCGCATGGCGCATGTGTCGTGTCTGGCTCTATGGCAGCCTGCAGCTCTGTTTAAGATCTGCATCTATTTAGTTCCATGGCGAGCGCTGCGACAATAGCAACGCGATTCAGCGCGACCCGTGTCCAAGTGTTGGTTGCGCGTGGTCAACCCGAGGTACCCGCTCCCATCACTTTCACTTGGCTTTCTTTCTTGTGTTGGCGTGCATTAGAACCAAGTGCTGAATTACGAAAACCAACAGTTGACGCTGTTTCCACGTGTCCGTGGAAACAGCGCCTTGCTACGACTTGGCAGCTCGACTCGTTCACGACGTCCAAGTGGATGCGACTGTTCAGTACTCCCTGGTTACGTGTCCTTGAGTAGGTCATCTAATATCGTTCGATAAAAACGTATTGACAAAGTTTATTCTCCATAGTGCATATTCTCCAGTCGACTGGCTGCGTAGACAGACACAAGACAGTGCAAAGACATCTTTGTCGTCAAGACGGCGGGCGGTCAAGCAAGACAATGATTCAACAGCTGCACGTTCCAAAAAGTCCATTCGCGCCTCCGTCAACGTAGCGTGTGCGCCAGCGGTAAGCATTTCCGAACGTCATGAGGCGAAAAAGTTCTTGATCTTAGCCTTCAGCACGCTGAAGCAACCCTCAATAGGATTGCACATCGGCGAGTACGGTCCAATGCGTAGCAAGACGCAGTCATCGTGCCCAGGCATGCGGGTCTCAGTTTGGCTGTGGGCGGGTGCGTTGTCAAGGACAATGACCACGACCTTGCCGCAGAATTCGGCTTGGAACGATGGAAGCGACTTGACGACATGGTAGATGGCTTTTGCAAATTCTGCGTTTTCTTCCATCCGAATGCTTCCCCGTTGCATGCGGTGTAGGATGAGACCGTCGGTTGTCGATACAGCGCACTTGAACTGAAGATTCGCTCCCTTTGACGGTGGAAGCACGGCGACGGCACGTTGGCCCACCTTGGCGCGACCTTGTGTTCGCCTGCTGTACAGATTGTAGTTCGTTACATCGTAATACACGATTTTGTCACCGCGCGCCATTTGCATGAACAACGTGTCAGCGAACGCTTTTCTCTTTGTTTTATTGATGTCGTTGCTGCACGTCGAGGGTTCGACACGGACTTGCTTTACTATGTACAGCTTCCCATAGAGAGTTCGACTGATCGTTGAGGTTGAGATGTTGATACCAAGTTCTACATATAGCCTGTCCTGCATATAGCTTAGAGTATACTTAAAGCATTCATCGATGTACTCTTCCAGAGGTAAGGAGATCTCTGGGGTCATCTTGGTCTGTGACGGGCGCGCTCCACCCCGGCTGAGTCGATTGGCACGGTTGTTGTGAATCACACGTCGAGCTTCGTCAAAGGGACTCCATTGTGAGCGGCCACTGCTTTCCAATCTTTTCGGTCATGGAATGCTGACAAGACACTAGTTTTCTCGGCTTCTGTTGGCATCTTTTGATTGTGCGTGGGTAATTTTGTCGCGTGAGTTTGCCGCGTCCGCCAAAAGCAAACCTTTATCAATACATGTTTTGATATGCAATCAATGTGGACACAGGTGTCCACAATGATTGCATATTAAACCACTTTGAATGAAATACAGACAACGAGGGAATTTAAGGGACACCGAAGTTTTCACAAAATTTAACGTAATTTAGGCCAATCAAAATTCGATCAAACGAA